ATTAAAGGCTAACAGTGTGAAGTGTTTCCCAAAGTAATGTGTGTGATTTACTTATTTCAGGCTGTGTGTGTCACCTTTCCGTCAAGATTTCAGTCAAGCAGTGAAAGCAACACTGACATGAAGAGGTGTGATTCCATGTTCATCACATGTTTCGTTTCATCCAAGTTTAACTATTTGCTGTAAAGGTTATTTTCTCCTTGCTGGCAAGAATTATTTCTGTTTAAAAAAGCTCAAATGAATTCCTTAGGATGCAGGTTTGTCTGTGTGTGGCCCATAATCCACTGCGTGACAGGCATATTTAAGTTGGGATTCATCCACTGCCTCAAGGGAGCTCTAATGGTATGAAATCTTGAGCCTGCACAGACTATCACAGGAAACTGAAGAACATTTTTGAGCTGATGGTTTATTAGAAGAGAGGGTAGAATATAATCATTAAGAAATGCATATGGTAGCATTTAGGTGACAGCTGATGCACCAAAAACAATACATTCCCTAACTTTTATACCTGAAACAGTTTATGTTATAGTCACCAGGCACGGTGGATCCATGAACACGTTGTAATCCTGTCATGAACATACACACAAGTATGTTTTCTGGACGATATTCACTATTACTTCACTATACTTATTTTTTTCTTAGCAATGCTGGCAAAGTCGCTCTTGTCAATTTTGGTCAGTCAGTCTATCACTTTAATCCATCAATCAACTATCTATATACCGCTTAATCCTCACTAGGGGCTGGAGTCTATCTTATCTGACTTAGGGTGAAGGCAGGGGACACCCTGGACAGGTCACCAGTCTATCACAGGGCTACACTTAGAGACAGACAACCAAGCACACTCACATTCACATCTACGGACAATTTAGAATCACCAATTAACCTCAACATGTTTCTGGTCTGTGTGGGAGGAAGCCGGAGAACCTGGAGAGAACCCACGCTGCACGGGGAGAACATGCAAATGCCATGCCACCTTGCAGCCCTCACTTTAATCCAGACAGAAATATCTCAACAATAAATAGATGGAAGACTGGGAAGACTTTACTGATCCTCTAACTTTCCCTTTAAGGGTCACCAGCAGGTTAGAGTCTCCATATAAACAGTTGAAATCAAACATTTACATACACTGTGTAAAAAGAACCTTTTTTCTCACTGTCTGACATTAAATCCGACTTTTTTAGGGAATTTTTTATTACTTTCTCCAAAGTCATGGGTTTACATACACTTCCTTAGTATTTGGTAGCATTGCCTTTAAACTGTATGACTTGGGTCAAACATTTTGGGTTTCCTTCCACAAGCTTCTCACAATAGTTTGATGAATTCTGGCTCATTCCTCCTGACAGAACTGGTGGAACTGAATCAGGTTTGTTGGCCGTCTTGCTCCACACACCTTCAGCTCTGCACACAAATTTTCAACAGGATTGAGATCAGGGCTTTGTGATGGCCGCTCCAAAACATTAACTTTGTTGTCCTAAAGCCACTTTGTAACTAATTTGACAGTATGCTTAGAGTCAGTGTCCATTTGAAGACCCATTTAACTTCCTGGCTGATGTTTTGAGATGTTGCTGTAATATTTCCACATCATGTTCTTTCCTCATGATGCCATCTACTGTATTTTGTGAAGTGTCCCACTCCCTCCTGCAGCAAAACGCCCCCCACAACATGATGCTGCCACCCCCGTGCTTCACAGTTGGGATGGTGGGTCTTCGTCCCTGTGTGCATTTGCAAACTGTAATCTGGCTTTCTTTATGTTTCTTTTAGAGTAATGCCTTCTTCCTCTCTGAGTAGCCTTTCAGCCCATGTCGGTACAGGACTCGTTTCACTTTTGCTTTTGTTCTGGGGTTGATACACACATTTCGCACCAAAACGCTTCATCTCTGGGACACAGAACCAGTCTCCTTCCTGAGCGGTATGATGGCTGGACATTCCCATGGTGTTTATACTTGTGTCTAATTGTTTGAAAAGATGAACGTGGAACCTTCAGGCATCTGGAAATGGTACCCAAGGATGAGCCAGACTTGTGAAGGTCCACAATTCTCTTCCTGATATCTTGGCTGATTTCTTTAGATTTTCCCATGTAGTCACAAAATACTTTTATATGTTATATTTACTTACTTACTTACTCTGCATACTTACTTTTCTTTGTTCCTTTGTTTTGACCCACCATGCAGGCCTGGTGTTTGGGAGAGGGCCAGCCTAGCACTTCCTAAGTTCCTTTTTGGATAAACACATCTTTTGTATTAAAAGCAATCAGTCAGTATTGACCATATATGTTTAGTTTTCAGGGAGACATGTAGAAATACCTACACGTTTGGAGTGTGTACAAAGATGATGTTGGCACACATCAAAGTTATAGAATAGTCACCATGCTGTATGATGGTAGGGCTGAAGTGAGCAAGGTGAGAACTGAACACCCTATATAAGGAGGAGAGATTTAGCTTCCTCAGGTGAGTGAGGTGAGGCTGTGCTGCCAAAGTGTGATAGTGTTTTGAATGGTTGTGAGTTAATTTTAAAATCATTTTTCCTTGTAAATGATTTTTGTATTGTTTTGTCATTTTAAGTCTCACATGAATGGAGAAGCACTGTAGAATAAAATCTTCACACATCCATGTGATGAGTTCAAGGGGCTGTGCAATAATGTGGAAATGTGGAAATACGTATTCTGCACATACTTCTCCACAAGTATAAATAATCACAAGAACATTAATGAAATGACTACTCCATGGTGATGATTCAGGTGTAAATGTCCTTCTTCACACACTTCTTCTGTCTAAAGAAGTTCGTCACCATTAGTTCATATTTTAATAATTATTTTTGGGAGCATCTATACTTGTGTGTGAACTACATTTTTTCCAGATGATTTTCTTTTAGCACAACCATTACACTGACCGTCATTGGTTGGATTACAGTAAATACTTTTGTTTTTAATTCCTCGGTTTTTAATGGAGTACCATCCGCAGGTTTTAATTTATATTTGTCCAGTGTATCTGCAAAATGGCAGACATTCTCACCAGCCTCTGTTGTACTTTAGTGCTAATTAGCAACGCTTAGTTGGATAAGCTGAGATGCTGAGCGAAGTGTAGCCCGACCGCTTAACCCCATTATGTTAGCATTAGTTACCTAAAGCTAATCGGTCGAGTTAGGAAGTCATTTCAGGCAGCTGCCCAAACTAGCTTTAGCTTTGTGCAGCTGCCCAAAAGTACAACTTCACAAAGAGGACTGACGACTACATGTGTGCAACTTCTGTTCCAGCTTGTCTGCTTCAAGCACTGATGAACTGTACATTTAGAAGATGCACATTTGCTCAAATCTCTACCTAATGATCACACAGACTCTTCTGTTATGCAAACACTATCTGACCTTTCAGCTTTGTCCATGTGCTTTACCTGCTTCTTTCAAATGTCAGACACCTCCATAGGTGAAAGCTGTTTGCTTCAAAACGGTGTTCTACCTTCTAAAGTGAGTCTCTGAGTGTGCATGTACCCTCTGAAGAGGACTAGAAGTTCTAATTCCTGTCTGCGATCATGATGATTCGGTCATGACTCTGTGCTCCACATTCCCTCACCCGTGTCTCACTCCTCATCCCCTCCTTAGCATCCTGTGTCATACAAAAAAGCTCTTAACACATCCTCTGCGCAACTTAAAGAGCAGCACTGCTGAAGAATACTGATTTTGACAGATTATATGGCTGCGAGCTGGTATACAAAAGGATTATGAATGGGAAGTAAATGAAGCACTTGGTGAAACAGATTCATTTGAAGTGCTATTTGGGTTTTCTTATTAAGTAGGTTTCTTGGAGATTGGGGCTCTTCTTTGGCTGACGTGTCTCGATATTCACATTTAGGCCTTTTGTTCCCGTTGAGAGTCACAGTTTCTCTTTTCCATCTGTTGGAATGAGCTGCAAAATGAAATTAGTGGACTGATTCAGTCACACAGCGTTCGTGTGCATGTGAGTCGGGTTGAGATCTTTTTATTCCAGATCACCCGAGGCGTCATCATGGGAGCTTCATTTAGTGAGGAGGGCGTCTATAGGAGATTCATTTGAAGTTCGCCCACAGGGTTACATTACTACCATTCTTTTGTGACTTCAGATGGGATTATTGATCTCATTATGCAGAAGAATCACTACTTGATTGTGAAATAATTTATCACCATCTTCCTCCGTAGAGGAGCTGCCATAAACACCAAAACATCACACTCAGAGCATGTGTAGAAATCTGTTTGACTGCATGCGCTTGAATGCAACAGTGTGTGTGTACTTGTACAGCTATCTTTATGAGAACCATTTTGGGTTTTTAGACCACCGGAGTGAGGACATTTAGGAAAAGTGAGGACATTTTGGTCATTCTTGCCTTTTCACACCTCCTTTGAAAGACTGCTTGAGGTTTAAAACTTGACTTTGGTGTTAAGGTTAGATTAAGGTTTAGTTTAGGGTTCGATTAGGGCCCTTATTGAAGATGGTTATGGGGTTAGGTTTGTGTCAGCAGTATGTGTGTGTAATATAATGGCATGTAATGTTTGTTTTATTACCAGCAAACTAAGTTCATCCAATTTCTAAAGGCATTATGGCGAATCACATTCTCAGCGGAGCCCTTGTTGTGAACTTATCATACTTTCTATCATGTAATCACTGCAATAACAACGTTATGTTCCTGCTCTGACATAAGTTGCCTCGTTTTGATTTGCATCCCAAAGTGTAAATGCAACAGCTGGATTAAAAACAATCCCTAATCCCTCTTATTCTCATGGGGAAACAAGGCTCATTAACTCACCCCTATTTTTAGTTTGCATTGTACTTTTACGTCCTTTAAATGATTGGAAACAGCTTTTTTGAAAACATAAACGCACCCTAATGACAGCATCAGCAGTGACGTTCACATGAAGAAAGGCAAAGACCTGGGCTCAACAGTGCGCAGCTCTGACGCGTTTTTCTGCGGCGTGTCTGGCGCGCACAGATATAAACCCCAGCGCGCACCAAGCGCCCAGAAGAGCAGAAGAGACGCCACAGGACAGCGCGCAAATCTCGCTCTAACCCTCTGGGAAATGTAAGTACTTTGATATTTGATTTACAAAAAAGTCTTGAAATTACTGAAATGATTTAAAGTCTCTCCACATTACTCGCAAACGCAAAAGTCATGATATTTGGAACTTTCAACAATGTTTCCATGCTTTTTCTTTTCTTTCTTTGGTCTTTGTCTGTGATAAATTGCTTAAAAGCGGAATAGCTCTAGAGTTTTATAGCAGTATTTGACAATAACTCATGCAAAAAAAAAATTCTATTTTACGCACAGTGGAACAAGTGTCCAGTGTGCGCCACATGGGCTAACACTTTCTACTTTGCTCCGCCAGATGCATCCTAACTTGGTGAGCTGGCTGGGGACTCTGGGGTTCCTGCTGTGGGCGCTACTCTGCCTGGGCGCCTTGACGGAGGGATACCCGGTGAAACCGGAGAACCCAGGGGAGGACGCCCCGGCGGAGGAGCTGGCCAAGTACTACTCAGCCCTGAGACACTACATCAACCTCATCACAAGACAGAGGTGGGCGGGTTAATGAAAACCTCTCTGCAAGAACAGAATTAATGATTTCTCGCTCTAATTTTGTAGGGTCTTGACCTTTGTGAAGTGCTCTGAGATTATTTATGAGTGGAACACAAAAGAATGAGTCTTCACTTTGAAAAAAAAAAAAACTCTTTAGCACACCAATTAATTTCAGGTTTAATTTAATTTCAAAGACTGCTTTGAGGGTGTTTTTTCTCATCAATTGTCTGAATTGATAACATTAAGTTTTTCATCGGCCACAACATTCTGTTCTATTCTTACAATTTCTCCACATTTATGACTTGTGCACATAATGAGATGACTGCTATCAGCTGAAAAAAATGCTTGTGAGTTCAGCGGAGCTATTTTCCCATAATCCCTTAATAATAAAGCGCCAGTCTATAATTAGGATTTCACTATTTTATTATTTGGCAGGTCATTTTCTCTTAAAGCTGAAATCTCATATGTTCCACCAACAAGTAGTGTATGTTACACAAAAAAAAAAAAAGTTCTGTTTCTCTGTTATCTTCCAACTAGTCAACATGCTCTTTAAAGGAACATTCCTTCAGCACCTGACAGTCTATGTCTGAGTATTTGTACTCTATAGTGTTCCACTGGGGTTTTGCTTGTTGCAGCTGTCAGTGTGAACCTGGCAGCTCCAGCTCTGTCAGCAGCTTCTCCCATACCTTACTCGCTCTCACTTGTTACACAGCAGAGAGCACCCGTTGCCCATTTACCACCTGTAAAAAAAAAAAAAAAAAGCCCTGAAGAGAAATGACTGTCACGACCAGCATGCCGTGTCAAATCACCCACAGTTTTCCAGCTTTCTTCTGAATGTCAGGGGTTTGGAAGCCTCTGCAGGCGTTGTGCCACCCAGAGGGACATGCACGCTGGCACGGCTTATCATCTGAGGGACAGAAAGGGAAATACGACCACCCGTGATGCAACTCCTGTCTGTGCCTGCTGGGTTCCGGTCTGACTCTGTTCAATTTTCACCGAGCTCATAATTGGACATATGACACAAGGACATGCAGGGAAATAAGTTATTTCCATGTGTGCAATTCAGCCAAAAGCTCCTTTTTTCATGCAGTTTCAGGCTTTTTTTTTTTCTCGACGAAGTTGGTGTTAAAACCTTTTGAATTGCTCATCACCATCATCCCTCCATATTGTCTGCTTGTGTGCCTCAGGTATGGGAAAAGGTCCGCTCCTGAGATTCTGGACACACTGGTCTCTGAGCTGCTGTTGAAAGAAAGCACAGACACACTTCCACAGTCGAGGTATGTGTTACTGTGATTTATTGTCTTTTCTGTAGTCTCTTGCATTCTCATTGCTTTTGTCACCAAAAGCGCCGGCCTTCACAGAACAACCTCCGTCGCTCTGTCGTGATTTCTCCCATTTGCTGATGTGTGTGTGCGCCTCTCTCTCCAGATACGACCCGTCACTGTGGTGATGCTTTCATCAGTGTTGGCTCTCACTCACTGCCGCCCCGCCGCTGATATTCTGACCTCTGCGCCTCTGTCACTTCTTCATACCCTCCTATACCAAATGAATAACCCTGCCTCTGCCCCTTCTAGCCTCTATGAGCGGCCACGTACATCCAGCCCCTCGTCCTTATCTGCTACAGTCAACACTGCTTATAGTAGGCCATACAATTGTAAATAGTTTATTCAGAGTCATCATCTGTGAAACATAAAGGTAAAGTGGAGGAGGGGCATGTTGATTGTATTGTATATTTGTGCTATTAAAGAATCACTGTTTGAACAAATGCATTTTTGGCATCTATTTGATGGGCCAAACGTAAATAGTTTTTATTATTATTATTGTGTAGGTGGCAGCCGGTGTGTTTACTTATTAAAGCTTGGCAAACCAAGTCCTCTCAAAATGCAAATGTCACAATGGGCCTCCATTGATCAGATTCATAGGGGAAAACAAGCCTTTGTATTATATGGAGATCATTGATCGTGAGGACTTGCATAATGTGAAAAGGCTTTTTTTGTAACAACCAGTCTTCAAACAATGTTGGCGTGCTGTCTTCATGGTGAGTTCAAGTTGGCCACACCTTGCCTGCCAATGAAAGCTAAGATTTCAGAAGAAGCTCCATGACACTGGTTAATGGAGCAAACGCCTAAAAAGTACACTTTAAATGCCACGGTTCAGTAAAAGCCTACTGTTTGGTGAAAAACATTAATCGATTTGAATCTGTCAATTGCGTAGCTAATGGCGCTCTCTTGTGGCCACACGGATAAGCACCTATTTTGAAACTAAATGAAGGGAGAAATGGCATTTCCAGGAGCATTATTGCAATTACACGAGTGGTTAGTTACCGCAGCCTGACATCCTATAACCCGCAGAGCACAAATCAAGCAAGAGGCACTGCAGACACACAGCCTGCAATAGAGATTGGATACACCAAAGGATGAAAAAAAAAGTCTATTCAGACAAGGACCTGACTGCTTCATGTGGTGGTTCAATAAAAGTCAAACTAGTTTCCACCCACTATCACAGTAACACCTGGTCACCGCTGTCACTGAACCACATAATTGAAGACTGGAAATATTCACCGCTTCATCACATTCTTGTCTCATTTTCTCCTGCTTAAAGGCTTTATGGCTGTTCTTTGGGATCCGAAAAAAAAAATTAGCTGAAAAACAAAAACACTGACACTGGTTCAAAACTTTGGAGGCTGCACAAAACCCAACTGTTTATCCTAAAATGATCTTTATACACAATGCAGCTTCACTATATCTGGAAATGTGAATTTTAATGGGTTATTAATTAGCCTGATGAACTTAGCATGGCAATTGTGCTGGCTGTCACAAAGGCTGTGATATTAAACGGTCTTGTGTTCGTACATTGAAGGGATATAATTTAGGTATCTATTGAGATGTGCTACTCAAGACTGAATATGAAAGTAACCTTGTGCTCTCTTTTGGTAGTTTTAGAAAGCAGGCATAGTAGTGTACACTGTAAAACAGGAGTTTTGTCAGATCTACTTATTTTTTTCTAGTTGAAGTAAATATACAAATTTTGCCAATTCCTGGTCAACTGAACATAACATGTCTGTTATTTTCAGACCTTTTTAGAACTTGAGTTTGAGGAATGTATTGACTTAAAGTGATGAGCTGAATGAATGACAAGCTGTAAGTTCATTCAACCTCATTAAATTGGGTTTATGAAAAGCAAAACTAGCATATAAGTGGACTTCTCAGGATGTACGGATAGCCTGGAGGTGGAAACACAAAGAACTGGTGCTAAGTCAGGCACCGGCTCCAAACCAGCACTGGAACCAGTTTGGTGTAAAAGGGGTCTGAGAGGAATAAAACTCCACAAAGACTCTTTATTTTTTTTGTAGCCAGACAAACTAGACATGGTAGAAACTTGCCGTGTGTCTTTCAAACGTGTTAAATTAAGTTATGGCTGTTTATTCTCATAATCAAAGTCTAACTATGATAAAGGCTAGGAGTTAACCCTATTCAGGACCTTTGGGGTCTTTTGGACGCCAAGCCATTTGGTTTAGGTGACAGGTATTGTCACCTATTGTTTTTTTAAATATAGAAAGAGGGACATTTGTCGTGCATTTGGAGCCAAAAATATGTCAACTTATCAGAAAACTTACTTAACATAGTAAAAAAGTCTTTAATGAATACCAACAAATATTTCACACATGTTCTTTCTTGGGGTCCTGAAAGACCTTCTGGCAACATGAAAGTCCTGAATGGGGTTATTTCAAGTCTACACCTGTAGACTCAAAATGTCACCAGTCAAATATGTCCTCAATAGCTGAGGCTGCTGGTTTTCAATGTTAAATTTGGATTAAACTCTTAATTTAGGAAATCTGTCTAGAACTATTGTCCATGAGACTAGTTGATTCAACTTAATATCTTAAGTTTATTGAGCTTGTTTTGTGTAGCTAAGTTAAAAATGACTTTGTACATATGAAATGGAAGTGTCGTTAACATACATTGTCAAGGTAGCAGATCAATTTATAAACTAAATGAGTTTAAATGATTTACAGTGTAATCCCAGGTCCCTCTGTTGTCAGGGGTAGCTTCATGGATTTAAAAAAAGAAAGTATCCTACAAGGTCAGTGGTGTTCTATGGTTTTTGAGGTACTTCAGTATGAATAGTCTGTGTGCATGTGAAATGATGTCAAAACGTATTTGTGTGAATGGACGGGGGCATCACAGTGTGACAAAAAGGAACTACTATAGTCCACAATGTATTCACTGAGGAGGGGGGGCTGGTCCTCGGCTGCCATTGGGCCGCGCTGCATGACGTCAGCGCGGAGGCGGGGCCTGCTGCCTTGATTGGCATCGTGTTCTCTGGTAGTCTGATGCGGGACCAGGACAGACAGCTGAGGGGGGTTTGAATGTCCAACCGGGACGGTCGGTGGACTACCGCGAACTCACACGCACAATTCACAGGTAAGTCACGGCTTCGTGGCCACATTTGAAACGCGGAGATTGTGAATTCATTCATCAGCCGGCAGTCAAACGGCAGACAAAGACACTTAGCCGTGTTTGAGGTGCAGCAGGAGAGTTTGACAGAAGGAGCGGTCCGTGCCCTGTAAAGCCCGCTCTGTTGGTCACAGCGAGCCCAATTCAGGCGCAGATCAGTTCGCTCCGGGCGCCTATTTTGGACTCGGATGCGCCCCTTTTCCCTTTTCCTGCCTAACGTGAGGAAGGATACGGCGGATGGGGTTGTAGTCGTAAAGTGTGCGCACGCCACAATGGCTCGGATGGGTAACAAAAAAATGGCCGCACGTGTGGCGAGATCGGTGTTGAACGTACGGTTGTCTTGGTCCAGCCAAAAAGAAAAAAAAAAACGAAAAAAAAAAACGGCGCAGGCGTTTGGCACACGGATCTGGCGCACGGTTCCAGCGCACGGATGTGGCGCACGGATCTGGTGGCCGTGCGTCACAACCGCGGCGTAAAAGACGGAGCTGCAGGTAATGGTGCTGTCAGGAGGAGATGGTTGTCCCGAAATGACAGGCTGCAACATCTACCAGCGAAATGAGAGGAGAAAAAGAGCGCACATTTTCCTTTACATGACACAAGTCGTAATATCAGCACCAGGTAGAACATTTTATGCAGTTTTGTTGACTGGACAAACTTTAGGAGCAAACATCTACAAGCCTGAGCCACCTCTGACTGGAAGGTTGGGGACCGGTGGCTTGGCACGGGCTGGCCGACCGGAGGCGCAGCCAGACGCTCGTATTGATTTTTATTTTTTGTCCTCCACTGAAACGTATGAGTGCTCCATCTAATAATAATGCACTAACACGATGTCAGGACCACTTTGTGGGAGCACTTAATCGAAACATAAAACCACCTACATATCACAACAGACTGCAGCTCTCAATGAATCTTGGGACTTGGCATGGTTTATAAGCAGTTTAGCCTCGGCGCACGTGATGGGGGAAGCCCATGGACATACGCAACATCCTTGGGGATCCTTATTGGGAGGGGCTATATAGGCCTCCAGACCACTGAGTGGGGCAGTATGGATCCTGTTGCATCTAAACTAGACTTTATGGGTCGTTCTTTCTTCCTTTCAATTGTATAATCAGATTTTGTTGAATATATTAGGATGAACAAAAGCAGGAGGGGAAGGAGGCAGTTAGTCCATTAGAGGAAATCTGCAGTCCCTGGGCAGGGATATCCAGTAAGACTTCGGGATCCAGGATGACCTTTATTGTTCTGCTGAAGTAGGTGGATTAAGGCTGTAGTTAGACTTCTCATAAGCATATACTATTCCTTCCAGTCAGCAGGCTGGAAAACACGAATTTCAAGTTAGACACGTGCCCTCAATGTTGGAACATATGGGAGTTGTCAGTGAGCCATTCAGAGACCAAATCCAACACTCTGAAGCTTCTACTTCTCTATTATTAATACACAGCTATGGGAGGGATGGTACAGAAAAAAAGAGGAGGGAAGGGTAGGGAGCAAGAGAGATGGAGAGAGGAGGGGGGGGGAGGAGATGGACCGGAGGAACTGGAGTGACTCAAACCTCCCAGCTATGAACAACAAGAGTATCAGAGGACTGTTATCTACAACAATAAATCTGCAGCAGGCTGCACCTCCCTACTGTTAACACACAACCAACTCCCTAACAGTTGTCACAAGCTTATTGCATCGCTGTCAGGAAAATATACAACAACATGACCACAGAGAGGAACATCATTTTTTTGAAAGGAACTCTGTGTCAGAACTGCTACCGGGCATGTGAGGGCGAATGTCTTTGGCAGCTTTTTTTTTTTTTGCTGCAGCAGTCTATCCTGCTGATTCACCAGATTTCATCAATCACTAAGATCTTAAAGGGGCATGCCGCTGCAGATAAAACATACAATTACCCGTGTGTCATAAGACAGCTCGGATTTACAAAGAAAACATCCCCTTGACTTGAATCAGGAAAGACGCTTTGAATCTCATCCAACTCCACGAAAACTTAAGCGATGAAGATGGCAGCAGAAGCTTGTGTGAGATCTCTTGCATGTTCTCATCTGAAAACTCATTTGAACCGAGACCGTATAAGGTCGTCATGTGAGCACAGCGGATCAAAGTCTCGTTCCTTTTTTTTTTGATGGAGCCAGTGGGATAAAACCATCTGGTTCTACAAAGAAGCTGATAGAAATTCTTTGCGAGTCTTAAAGAAATTTGACACAGATAAACAAAGATGTGTTCCTTATCTCTTCTCCTTCTGCGCTTCTTCCCCAAATCACATCCTATTTTCTTACCATCCAGCATCACTTTTCTCATCTTTTTTAAACTTTGCAGTTGCGTTAAGTGCTGTTGCATCACTTCTCGCCGCCCCATTCCCTCCCTCCCTCCCTCCCTCCCTCTCTCTCTTTTACTTAATACTAACGATCAGTAACAGGAGGCTGGAAAGGCGGAGAGAGAGAGACTGAGAAGAAGCAGGCATGGCCATGTGGCGGGTTAGATTATGTCACGAGGTGCACGTTATTAAGATCGCTGCGCGTTCAGTGCTGAAGGCTTTTGGCGAGCTGTGTAATTATATCATCCCAAGCTGCGTGGCAAAGCGCAGACATCCCACCAGCTGGAACATCACCAATGAGGAAATTGAGGTCATTTTCTTTGGCGACGCTTGGAAAAGATGCAAAAAAAAATAAAATTGACTGCGTTAAACGGTGGTGACTTAGATTTCGATCGGCGTCAGGTGAAAAGTTGAGGTGAGCATGAATCAGCAGAAGGTTGAGCTGCACCCTCATCCTTTGTGGAAGAGCTCATTTTGGTACACTTTTCAGCTATAACTTGTTAGAAGGCATGGTTATGATAAATATTATGCAAATATTGATCTGCTAAGATGGCTATCTTAGGGGTAGCAGTGTAATCCTCTTATTGAGCGGCTGCGTTAACACATGGAGTGACCTACATAGGGTTTGTCTGGAGGCAGAGGGTGATGGGTGAGAGGCATGACAGGACGGCGTTGGTTATGGGAGGAGAGTGGTTGTATGAATAGCCAGTCATTACACACACACACACACATGTAGGTCCAACAAATACACACTGCTTCTTTGAATATCTCGTCTCCCTCTAGCGCTCATTACCATACTGGTGTTGTGCAGTGGGAGGGCCGCAGGTCAGGGTTCAAGAAAGTTTACAAATTGCCCTTTGCTGCTCCTGAGGTCACCCAATGAAATGACATCTGGACTCAGTGGCCTCTTTTGTGATTCTCAAGTCATTAAGAGGAACCGAGAGTGATGGCCAAGCCTCCACAGAGCCCGGGGCGCAACGGGACGGAGAAGAGGGGTGGAGAGAATATACAGGCGTGGGTTCTTGCAGGACGGGCGCCTTATTGGTCGAGCTCTGTATGTGTGTTTCCTTGCCTCAAGGTGTATGGCACTGCACTCCATCTGAGACTGTAAACTCACAAAATACGCCCATTGCATCCCCAAGTGTTAGTCAGACTGAGATTTCCTGCTTGCGTGACTAGAACAGGAGGAATTAAAACCCCGGTTTGCCTGGTGTCTTTAAAAGCATGCATATGCACACACACACACTCGTCTACACGAGTAAAACAGCAGTGATGTTTTGTACAAAAACAAACCCTCTGATCCTCTCATAATCCCTCTTCCATGAGCTGTCCATCATCTGAGTGCTTGGCAACCGAGGGCACTCAGGAGGCTTTTGTTGGCTCGTCCTTTCATGCAGAGCGGCCAATGGCAGGCAGGATTGCAAATGACCATTTTCAGTTTTTTTTTTTTTTTTTTTCCTGCCCCGAGAGCAGGAGAGAGGACGGGACAGTAGAGGTGTTAAGACATCAGAGGAGTGCAGGGCACCCTCGCTGTGAGCGGGAGCAGCCTGTCCACCAAAAAAACTGAATATAACCCAGTTCCTGGTCCTTGAGATGACCTGGCTTTTTACATGCAAATGAGCTCCTGCACAAGCCTCTCTACATTTGTTATATATAAAGCAAACTCCCCTGAAATGTTCCCAGACATTCAGACACAGAAAGGTTTTTGCTGTTTTCACGACAGTTACTTGGTAGTTTTTAGAAACAGTTAAACAGATTACAAAGGTGCTCTGCAACCACTCCTACCAAAGACTTTCTCGTCCTTGTCTTTTCCACCTCTCATCCTCCCAAGACTTGAGAGGCTTTTCCCCACATCTCAGTCTAATCTTCAAGGATTGTTCTCTGTTCCTCCTCTTCTTCGAGACTCCTAATGTGACTTTTATCTCATCCCAACTCTGCTGCTCTGAATCTCTTCCTCGACTCTAAAACTTCTCCCCTTTCCTCTGCCCATTTTTATACCCTCCGCTAAGATCAGGTTGTGACCCTTCCGGCCCTTTTTTTCCTGCTCAGTTTTTTATTTTTTTTTGCTCCTCCCTGCTCGTTTGGGCCTTTGATTGGTCCATCCTGCCTCCTGCTCCGTGGTGCGGATGATTTGCCGAGCAATCGTCCGGTGATTTGGCCTCCATTAACATTCTTCAGAGGGATAACTTTCACTTCCAATGAGCGTGTCGGACCTGATTGTAATCTGTGTTGTGTAATGAATCAAGCCCTTATGCTCATACGGTGAAGGAGCAGTCGGCTCCAGCGGGATGAATGAAGGGACCCCGGTGTAGCAAAACCGGTGACGAGTAGACTTCCTCTGCTGGGAGTGTTTTGGCACTTGGAAACTGTTCTGTTCTGGATGCTGACTAAAGAGAAGCTTAAGGTCAAAGGTCAAGTAATGGTCTGTCTCTCAGACAGTATAGAGACAAATATCTTCATTTTGGGATATTTTATAGACCCTCCAAGCGAGCAGGTTGGACTTTTGACTTACATTGGACAATCTTTCAAACACCCACACTCTCCTTCCACTGCTCGAGGCGAGAGAAACACACAGAAGGAGGCTGAATGAAATGAGGCTTGTAAGGGGGGTAACACATTGTTTTGTTGGCAAATGTAGACATCAGTTATTTGTAATGATATCATTTCATAGCTTTTTTTTTTTTTGGGAGTTTCATTTTTTGCTGGCTTGCATTTTCAAATGGTACATTTCACAATGGCTATTCAGGGCTGCATGAATAGGGTTTGGCGCTGGCAGATTTTGCGGTTTTCTCAGACAAATGTTTGAAACATGGCAAGGTGGGGCGGGGGTCGACACAAGTGAAAATAGTGACAATGCTCCATCTCGAGTAAATGTCATGCATGAAAAATCCTACCAAAGTAAAAGTACAAAGTTATTAACAAGTGTTAGCAGCGTGTTACTGCTGCAGGTGGAGCAGGTTGGATCTACTTTACATAAAGCTTTACATACAGGGACAGCAGATACATCTGAGAGGTCACCAGATGATTAATGAGAGAGGAAAACGAAAAGAAAAGAAAAAAAGCACAAATCTCTTTTCAGATGTTTTCTAATCTTAGAAATCTTTCGGACCATTTGAACATTTATTGAAATGAAACCCTGTGAGAAGTTTAAAGGGAAGCTCTAAAATGTGACTACTTTTTCTAAAAGGTTGCTTTAATATTTACCAGTTTGTTGTATTTTAATAGGGTGGAATGTTACAATACTCTGAAATGTAGTGGAATGGAAGTATAACGTAGCACAAAATGGAAATAGTCATTCGTCATCAAGTACCTCAAACCTGTTATTCAAACAGTGGTTTTACTGGCTGATGCAAAAATCCATTTTTGTGAGTAAACCTTGTTCTACCTACTTGAACCTGACAGTGCATCTTGACCTTGGAAAAAACAACTGGCAAAACACTCTCCATTCAAAGTGTGCTAAGTTACTTGTTTTTGACTTTCTCTTTCATACGCCAGGGTCTTCATCAGTAGTTGAGGTTTATTGTGAAACTCAAGATGCAGACGGTAAAAGATTGTTTTGATCACTTTTAGCACTTGTTGAACACAATGAAAGTGTCAGAAGTAGCGTGTGGACCTTGAGCTGATAATGTTACTGATGCAATTTTGACTTTTTTCAGATAAACACACTTTTAAAAAAAAAAAAAAACAAGGATCTGTCAATTCTGTTTCTTTTACCTTTTCTAAAATTGATGCTGCATCAACAAACAATCCCAGAGCAGGTACGCTGATGCAGAAAAATCAATGATAATTCCAGATTGATCTTAGCTATTGTGATATATGTAAACCCCTGCATGATATACACTGACTCGCTGTGCAGCATGTGTGTGTGACTCTGCAAGTGAAAACGAGCGGAGAGCCTCCCCGGGAGTGAATGCATACTGCTTTGTCATTACTTTCAGAGAATAGTGGCCATTTACTACGCGGATGGCGGAGCGCCAGCTGATGATGCAGGCATCCTTGAATAGCTGAGGACAATCAATCGTGCGGGATGGCTCTGTGCATCGTTCTAAAAGAACAACTGCCACCCTCCGCAGACGAGACTCCTATCTCGCTGCAGGCAGGGATGACATAGATAGATGGAAGCGAAACAAAAGAAAAACTCATTGAGTGTGTGTGCGAGGGGATAAGCACGAGTGTCTGAATGCTCAAGCGAGTGTATGTGAGGAATGATGAAAACTGGTGGGCAGGAATGCAAGTGGAGCTGAATATTCATGGCTCATGCGGATGAGGCTCACAAACTTTTTCACACATCGCCTGCCCTCCCTTCCTCTGTCTCTCCAGGTCTTCGCAGTTGACTGATGAGCAGCCAGTAGGACCGGGGTTGGCCTACACCGACTGGCATAGGTAAACACAACTTCCTCAGTACTAACACATTGGAGACGTTTAGGGATTTTTTTTTCCCCCCGTGCTGACATGATTTCGTCGGCTCTCTGGGAGAACTGCCAGTCTTTGAAGCGAGAGTGCACTGAGCTGTGTTGGTCAAAAATATCTTCACTTTTAAAGAAGTAAAGAAGCAGCCGGTTTGCCTGTGTCTGTCCGCGTGGATTTGACTTTTGACAGTACTTTCTCTGTACTCGAAAGGCCCCGTGCTAATATTAATCTTCCAAGTGTGGAGATTGAAGTGTTTATATAACCACGATCTGTATATATTCATTTACCGTCCGTGACTCTTACCATGACTGTGACCTGCAGACAGAACTTCTATAATTGCCTGTATTGGTTTCTATTATATTTTTGTCAGAGCGGGTTAAGTCTGCTGTACGGTATTTTTCTGACTTTGTCGAGGCTCCATTTGCTGATAAATATTCAAGGCTGATCACAGGTACAGTTATTTCTCATGCAGGCTTCTTTTTGGCTTTTTTTTTTCAAAAAACATCAGTGTGCCTTTTGTTAATGCTATTTACATACACAAATGAGCACATTTCTGAATAATAAACCAGCTGTTATGATAAAACATTCCTACTTTGCTCATTCCAGACTGGGAGCTTGGTGATTTCAATTGTCTTCGAAAAATCTGTCCCGACTCCCCGTGATGCTGTCTTACGGTTCGCATTCTTCTCGTGCAGCTGTTCAGCCTCAGACAAACTCTGTGTGAAAGCAGTTCTTATCTTCTTGCTTTCTAAAGAGGAATAATTAAGTCGACATTTTAGAGGAAACACCAACCGAATGTTTAACCAAATGGGAGCTTCCTGCACTTCCAAATGTACTATAACTCCTATAACATCTCTTGCTCCCCTTCATGCACATCAGATTTAACGATTCAGCGTAAGGCCATTTCAGCTGTTGCCAAACGGAGCGATGTATCATACTTAAGCCATGTAGAGACGTTTAAACATCAGATATGGCGGACGAGGGAGGGAGAGATTCTGTAATCCCGCTGCTTTCGTGGCCGGATTAAAATCCCGCGTCCCGAGCTGTGGGGGGGAGGGGTTGGCCGGTGGTGTTGAGGATGGGCTGGAGGGAGAGGCGGGGCGGATTAAAGCCTACAGATCTGCTTCCTGCACAGCTGTGTCACCGTGGGAGGGGCCTGATGGATGATGAAGGGGGAGGAGCCTGTTTCAGATTATGCTGGCTTTCTGATCTTGATGCTGCAATGTGATTTAAAGCACAGGAGATATGACAGGAAGTTAAAAAACTCTGATGGAACACTTGTGCATGCAGGGATTTAGCAGGTCCCTGGTTGGTTGTTGTTTTTAACCACAGTAGTGGTGTGACTTTTAGATGGTCAGTTAGTCCATCACGGTGGTTGAGACAAAAAATATCTCAGCTACTACTTTAAATTTGTGCACAACTATCACTGGCCCAAAGGAGGAAGGCCTCTGACTTGTCATCTGACACCAACATGAGGTTTACAGTTTTGGTTTCAACAACTAGTAGAGCAATTACTATAAAAATTCACACTTTAAATCAGTGGCCACCAGAGGATAAATCCTATAAACTAATGACTTTTACTTAAGTTAAGTTAAGTTAAGTCAAGATAAACTTTATTAATCCCACAGTGGGGAAAGTTCACCGTTACAACAGCTCTAAAAAGAAAAAGTCAGTACAATAATAATTTAGAAACACACCGTGCAAAATTGCAAGAGAAAGCATTATATACAGAAGATGTCTTTTTAAAGAAGACTATATACACAAGAATGAGGTAGTAACAGTTATTGCACACAAGTGGAATGTGTATGTAGGAGGAAAAAGAGCAGCAGTAACAGAGGTCTGACTGATGTTGGAATAAAGGACCAGCAGAAATGCTCCTTCTTACACTTAGGGTGTAACAGTTTAATTAGTTAATTAAATTATATTAATTCAATTTGCCCAGTACTTCATTTACAGCAAAATATGTGCAAAACATTTCCGTTAACCTCACCTGTTCAGTGCCAATTAGACATTTATTTCGAAATGAAATTTTAAAAATGCAACATCACTCTTTTTGAGTTGTGACAACTTCTAAAGAAATTATGTTTAACCAACAAACTAAGTTGAGTTAAGAGAATGATCCTATTTACTACAGTCAGGGGTATTTTAAAATGTAACGTATTTATTGATTGGTAGCATAAACCAGGTTTTAAAGCTGATGGCTCATAAAAATCCAGTTGTTCCAACTAGTGTTTTTGCATTATTTTCAAAGGAATTTTAAGTGTTATGTATTTAATTGCCATAATTAGGAACAGAAGCTTTTCAGTTGGTAAATTAAAAACAAAAAGTTGCTCCAATGTTAAGTAGGTAGGGGAGGAGAATTGACATCCTGACCTCAAGGTGAAGAAAATTCTAGTTAACAGGCTAATTTTAATAAATTATCTCAACTCAAAATTTCATTTTAAGTAACTACTGCAGAAATTTGAATTACACACAACAACAAGTTGATACAACCAACAGCACCGTTATGTCAACCCAGCACAGCTAAATGTTGTTTGCAGTTTAAAAGGTTAATGAATTAGAATTTTTATCTTGCAGCCATGCATTTAATTAAGTGGTGGGAATGGATCCCGTGAATTAGTTAATAGTGTTGCATTGCCATTGTGAGCATGTTTGGCTCAAAGCTTCTTCAGCACAGCCTCACAGAAGCGCTATCAAGGCTGCAGACACGTCTTCTTGCCTTTTTTTTTATTTCCAAAAGTCTCTCGCTGCGATGTGCTCGTATGCTTTGTGCAATAATACTTAATTTTTATCATCCATATAAAATGAGGCACTGAGGGAAGAATATTTATTACGACAAGGCTTCCGTTAAGAAACAGTCATGCAGCCGGTAGCTTCCCTTGAAGCATTCAGGCTCAGGGGTGGAGCGGCTTAAACTGCAGCCCCCCCCCCCCAAAAAAAAGAAATGTGCATAATCCTGTCAGCACCTCGAGTCTACTGACTTAGCGGGGAGCAAGGTGGTAAGGGCGCATTAATTTGAGGAGGAAGAGAGACTGAAGAAAGAAAAAGAAAAAAAAATGAAAGTGAGAAAAGGCTCCCATTAGTCTGAGGAGGCTTTAGGGAGGTGGACGACCGCTGAGGGAATACGTACAAGCACAATCTGCACACGCTGAGAGTTTCTGCACATTGCAGCAGCGGGTTGCCCAAACTCTCTGCAGAATGAGTGTGAACGAGAGAAAGGAGGAGGAAAAGAATGGGAATGTAGGGTCAGGCCCCCTTCAGTAACACTTATGTAAGATTACTTACATAATGACACATTCAACTGGTGTGTGTGAGTGTGTGTGTGCTTCTGTCTAGACAAGAGGGGTAACTTGACTTTGGGTGGGGTCGGGGGACACAAGAGGAGGGGTACTCGAGCAGCAGGAGAGGATTGTGGGATTATGTGTGTGTGTGTGTGTGTGTGTGTTATCAGCTGATGGGGGAGTGGGAGGTAGTATGGGAAGGTATTAAAGTCAGAGTGGAGGGAGGGGACTGACAAGTACTGAATGCATGTCCACATCTGTGTGTGCCATCCAGCTTTCTACCTCGCTCTGTCTCATTTCACGCCTGTCTCTCCAAACTTATCCATACATCAGCCTCTTTTCCTTTTCTTAAATTTCTCCCCTCATCTCTCTGCCTCCTCCTCCTCCTCCTCCTCTTCCTCTTCCTCTCCCCTGTTCCCCCCTCGTCTCTTAATATCTTCTGATCTTAATCCCATTCTATTGTCGCTGCCTTTGTGTCTCTTCTCTCATTCTCTGTCCTCGATCCCCCCCCCGCCCCTCTTTCTCCTTTGTACTCTCTTTTTTTTTTTTCTTTGGGAGTTTAGAGGGTCAGCAGTGCCAGAAAAGACAAGATTGGAGGACAGAAGACGTAGTTGCAGAACTGCTGGTGGTTGACTAGTGGTTAGCCTTTAGCATACTTGTGGCAGCGTTGAGGAAGAAAAGAGGGCTTGGCGATGGTCACAGCTATGGACGATTCCTGTCCCAATGGGGTACGGGAGGAGGAGGAGGAGGAGGTGACGCCCCCGGGACAGGCTGGCGTGGAGGGGCCCCCGGCTGTGCAGTCCACCCAGGGAGCAGAAACGTCTGGAGGTGAGGAAAGGAGGAGGAAGAGGCGGCCTGTCACATGTTTAGATGAACAGAGAGATGCTGTAGCGTTAGATTTTGATCTTAGGAGGTTCATTGAAGGCTTCTATGAAACATTAATCATCTCGAAGCAACATTGCAACTCCCAGAGGGTGGTGAGATTGCCGGATTTTTCAGTTTCAGATGTAAAATATCCCAAAAAATAAATAAAAATCTTTAGAGCAGCGATTCCCAACATTTACTGTCGAACATTCCCCCACAGCCCAGAGGTGTCAGATGAACTTAAGTTCTCCTTCATGGATATGAAGCAATGTTCTGCATGTCACATCTAGTTAGATTTTAAACCACTAATAATTATATTAAATCTGTTTTGGGATAATTGAACTGTCATATTGGGGTTGATTTGATCATTTTTGCATTTTTGCTACCACCAAGTAAAACCTTTCAACCAATCAATGTCTTTTTTTTGTTAGATATTTAGATGTTAAATATTTACCATCTTATATAACTTATCAAATACATTTAGCTATCTACACTATGTATCGCTTTGAACTGTTTTACCCATTAATATTGTTTCAACCATTTTCCATTATTTTTTGTGTATGCTTCAGCCATCAGCTAAAAGTTTCCCGACTTTCACTTTTATCTGACCTGTTCACGACTTTTATTCCATCTCAACTCTCTGTCTGCTCCACGGCTCACTGTTTCAGCCCTTTGTATATAACCTTTAACTCCCTGTTTAGACCTTTCTACTTCATTGCTAACAGGCTTTCATGCACTCTCAATCCCAACAGGTAATGTTCAAGTGTTACGGCTGACATGATTTTTTTATTTTATTTCTTTTTCAAAAATAGTTGAAGAACTACTTTCAGTTAAACCCTCTGGTCAGGAAACTCTGAGCTTTAGCTGTGAGAGTTGTCTGTTTTCCCTGGAGGTGTCTCAGTTCCTAACCTGTACTGGTAAAAAAAAAAAAAATGCCAAAGTATATTTTTGTTATCGATGACGTGTCAGTCAAGGTGCTCCTCTGATCTTCATCTCACAAAAAAAAAATCATCCCACGTATAATACAAGTAGCCAGGTCTTCTCTCCTGGGATTTGTCTTGCATTCCTTGAGAAACGGAGGCAGGAATTCTTAAGCAGGGAGGCTCTGAATTGGCATTCAGCGCACATCACGCTGGTAGGTGTAGATACTGAGGCAGTGGTTAGATGGTGAGAGAGACCGCAGACGAGTCCCACAGAGGGGAGAAGTAAAACCAGGTAAGGAGAGTGATTCATTATGTAGATGAATGAATCAGCAAAGGAGAAAAAAAAAAAACACTACTGTATATGTGTGGTGCCATCATCTCTCAGCTTCTTCACAGACAGACTCAGCAGAGATGAGTCGCCGTTTCTCACAAGAATGTAGATACTTTTAGGTCAGAGGCTTCATCCACAGTCCCTTACTGGACAGAAATGATGTGGTTTCTAGTCGGGATGAGCGAGTAGCACGTAGCCGGGGACGAGTTTGGATGAGCAAACATTCCTGTGGTTCCAGGACGCCATGACACAGTGATCTCAGTGAGTGGGCAAAGGTCAACACATAGAGCACAGAAATGCAGATACAAAACACCATCCAGCTGCGTGCTCCGGTTGTTTCAGCTTGATGTATCGCTTGGAAGTTAGTTGTGGTGTCAGGGTTTGTGTTTTTCTTCCTTTCGCTGCGTTTCTTTTAGGAAAACAGCTCACTGAAACTCCGACAAGTTGTAGATGTGAAACGCCGAAGAATTGAAAAACACATTTTTAAAGGGAGGGGGTTGGACCTCAACAAATTATAAGTGTGGGTGAGCGCGCTGAAATCAAGGCGGTGGTTTGGTGCTTGTTTGTGGTTGTGTGTGTGTGTGTGTGTGTGGATGCTTCTACTACAATTACAGCTCTGCTCTGGAACAGTGTGTGTGGTCCCCAAAGGAGCTAAACGTCCTGTTCATGCACACTGACTGCTGCATATCCAAAATTGAGTTTTAGATTACGCTTTCTGTGTCGGAATGTATATATATATATACAATGCTTCACGGATGACTCGGACTGACTCGACTTGATTATACAGGTTTAATAATCTGCAGTGCAGTTTTTAACCTCCCTTCCCTTATTTGTCCTTCTTTAAGAGGATCATAAATATTTAAGGTTTGTTTTTGCATTGAGCCTGCTGTTTATGCAGTCTGTCTCTGCTCTGTGGTTATCAAGCCAACGTGAGCTATCTGCTTCCCTGTGAGATAATTAGTTGGGTTTTTTTTCCCCTCCTTTTTAAAAAAACAAACTCACTCTCTTCTTTCTTAAGCGCAGAGTTGCATGACTATTGTGCAAATTAGTCATTTTTGATAAAGAAAAGGTAGAATTTAAATTGAAATTGTATCTAAAAATATTGTAATTGCAAAAAAAAAAAAGGGAATAACAGTTTAGGCCAGAAAACACAGGGATCACAAGAAAGGCTGCAGCACACGCAAAGGAATCTGCATTTTGTCTCGTACAAAACGGATTTACATATGTTAAGAGAAAGCTGATGAACATTTTACACCACCACAAGCGACTGCAGTGTTTCCTAATCGGTGTGTTTAAAGCGGCAATTCAGCACGTGCCGCTTAAGAGGAGGTCGAAGTAATAGTACGACTTGACGTGATGACACTGAATGTGAGTCAAGTGTAATAATGGGTCAGTAGAGCAAAACACCGAGAACTCATGGAGTGAATCAGCTGACTGGACATATTTACTACCCACCTAAGTGTGTAATGACACATGCTCACACACATTCACACACACACAGGCGTGCGTACGTTCCCAGGGAGTTAAGTGTCTTAAATTGGCTTACACTGGCTTTGAGACCCTGGCATTAGGACGTTAGCTGGCTGATACCTGCAGTCCACACCTCCGCTGCTGTGCGTTTGTGCCCAAAGGAAGCAAGATTCAGTCGAGTTCATTTGTTCAGATGCTTTCTAGTAGCCGACAGAATTTCAAACCTGGAGCTTTTTAGGTCTCGGAGTAGTCAGCTGTACGTTCTTGTGGGAATGTGCTGACTGAGCTCTTCTAAAACTGTGCACATTCGAAATAGAGAAAGTGAAATCACAACACAAGTCGACTCAAGGTGCTTTCAGATTAAGATGAAAGATGCACCAACAAATTGCACATCATATCATTTGGGCTGTTCCACGTGTCCAGAACTCTGTGTGTAAAGTATGAGTAAATGGCAAACTGGAGTTTAAAGAATTAGCTTCCGTCATCAGAGTATAGAAAGTTGGATCGTCTAGGTCTAGTTTTGTGACACTCTGTTTGCTGCAGCACCTTTAACAATGTTTATGCTTTGAATGACTTTCACGCCTGGCTAACCCTCCTTATCTCCTCTCTTTTTTTTTTTTTCCTCTCCGTATCTTTGCATCTCGCCCCGTCCGTCCAGCCATGCAGCAGGTGTTGGATAATCTGGGTGAGCTGCCCACCTCCACGGGCGCCAAAGACATCGACCTGCTCTTCCTGCGCGGCATCATGGAAAGTCCAATTGTACGCTCCCTGGCTAAGGTAGCACACACACATAGATCAGGGTGAGCAGCAGACTAACCAGTGAGCCAGCTCCAGAGGCCTCCTGCTCCCAGCTTTTGCTCTGCCTTGCTCTGGCTTGAGGTGCTCCAGTACAGCAAGGCGTGCACATTGGCAGCAGCGCATGCATCTAAGCACTTATTATCACAAACCGCTTGCTCCGACACGATCTTCACCGCTGTTTGATATCTAGCGTGCGGTGAGTTCAGTCAGAGGACGGCTGCAGCTCCTGCCAGACGGGCTGCTGTCATTTTCTGTTATCCAGCTTCTCCCTGCAGGGCTGCAACTTGTAAAGATGACAGGATGACTAAACAGAAACAAATACTTCTTTGACTTTTTTTTCCACTGTAACATGACTTCAACAGAGGCTTGCTTACAGAGCAAAATAACCTCACAGCGGCACTATAAACAGATTCCACTGTCAGCATTCACTACCTCTCAACAGAACTCACATCCGCTCATTCAGCTGTCACACATCCAAATCAATGCTAACATCACTCACCTTCTTCCCACCTGTGTGACGAAGCTGCCCTCCCTGAGCTTCTTTGTCTTCCCCAGGCTCACGAGCAGCTGGAGGAGGTGAAGCTGGAAGCGGTGCAGGACAACAACGTGGAGCTGGTGACGGAGATCCTGGGCGACATCAGCAACCTGAAGGTTAAAGACGACAGCGCGGCCGAGCTGTCCAGGATCCTGCAGGAGCCACACTTCCAGGTGAGACGCAGCAAACGCAGCTGGGCAGAGCTGAAACAGACAGGATCTCCTAGAACAACTGTGCTGCCAGTGGACTGAAATAATGTACAGGGATCCAATAACAATATTTCAAACCAAGCATGGCGTTCTAGCATCTTCTTTGCATCTAATTCCACCGACTAATATAAATAAATGTGAATTTCGCTGCTATTTATTGACATTAATTAAGCCTCTCTCACAAAGAGAGGAAGTCGGATATTTAACCTGGGAACAGTGTCTCCCTGTGGGCTTAATGAGGAATTAGTCTTGTCTTGTTTCATCTAAACCTCTCGTCTAACAGATTGTTTATGCACATCGCTGAGCCACAACATTAAAACCAGCTGAGTAATACTGTGTAGGTCCCTCTAATGCTGCCGAAACACCCCTAATTCTTTGGGGCATGGACACAGAACCTCTAAAATGTATGATACTGGGATGTTGGCAAAGGATCCTTCTGTGGGCTGTGGGATGAGGCCTCACATAAATCAGTCTTTGATGCTCAAATGGATCAAGATTTTGGGAGTTTGGTAATACTTTTAGCTCTTCGTCG